TTCCTGGTCATGTTTGAGATTGCAGGCGTGTTACCAAAACCATTGAAGTTCTACTGTTTTTCTATTCCGGATTCAGGTTACATACCACCGAAAATCGGGCAAAAGCTTCCGGTTTTCGACTCGTTTGGACAGAGTTACTCCCAGTCAACAGCGACGGTGAGTGATTGAGTCTCCTCTATCGAATGTTCCGGTTCATTGGCAAAGGCGTTATCATCATGGATATGCCACTTCTATTATTTCTATAAATTAATCATGCGTTCTGCCCATGAAGTCTCGGGTTCGATCCCCATTTGGGTCGATGGATTCGCACTGCTGATGAGACCCAACCAAGTCGAAACAGTTGTCCAGTGCTTCCGAGNTATACACGACAAATTCCCATTTGAAATTTAACCAAATCCTCCATTACTCACATGAAATTGATCATTATTTATAATATCTAACTGATAAAAGCACCAATTTCTCAATAGCGATATTTACCTAAATGCAACCAGAACGAGTTTCCAGATTAACACAAGTCGACTTGATTTTAATGTTTATGTTTTGACTACTGTAAACGTTGACAGTAGTAAATATCCAAGTTGAAAAATCGTGCGGCCACATGCCCTCGTGATTCTAAACAATACATCATACCAATATTTATTCTTCAGGAAGCTGTGACGGGTTCCGCTGTGAACACACGAAAAACTGCATTTCCCGATTGCTGGAATGCAATGGTGTGGCGAATTGTGGTGCCTTTGGTCGGGATGGAGAACTGGTGGCGGATAATTCGGATGAAACAACCCATTGTAAGTTGTTGAACGATGCACATCATGTTCTGCTCCAAAAGTCTGCTGTTCCAGTTCTAGCTACTAATCTCCCTTTCGTTTCTGTACACAATGTTTCATGCAGACATATAGTCAGATGCCTATGACAACGAGAAAGCAACATGTGCCAGGTTTGTAGGTATATGTATATGGGTGTGTACACCAAACTCATCAAATCGCCCAAATCCATCGTTCAGATAACACCAGACGTGTGTGACATGCGGTTGGCGATCGTGTCGTTGATCGGGGAAATACCCGCAGCGACTAACGCCACGAATGTTGGACATGTTGAACACAAATGGAAAAATAAGCCATGCTTACTTTACCGCGCAAGTGGCCGATAAATTCTAACATCCAATTTACTGTCGTTGTCAGTGTATTGAACATCTGATTACCCCGAAAACGAAATTTGTTTAGGTAGCTTCAACTTTCATGTCGAAGATTGATTTGCGGCCTTCTCGTATTCATAAAAAGCTTTGAACATGAAATCATTGAAACCCACGGAACAGCGCAAAGTCAGGTAGAAGCAAGACGAGCTGTGGATACATTTATTTCTGTTCAGAAAATGATGCAAATAAATAGCACATGCATCCAATAATTAAAGGTCCATTCTTCAGTGTACAGCCGACAACGATATGGTTCATTTGTTTGTCTTCTTGCATTTAGCCAATCCGATTGGTGCCAATTGAGACCACAGGATTGGTCGGTAAATCCGTTTCTTAATGGGCTACCAGGAAGCCGTACCGTGATGTGCGCGTACACGATCACCACACAGAACTGCAAACAGCTCGTTACACTACTGAGAAGAACAAAGTATAACTGGCAGACAAACAAATGGAACTGTAATACAGCAGCCAAGCTTGGACACGTTAGACTCAGTTTGGTGATAACGATCTGTGGGTGGTTTAGTATCCTGTAGTCTTAAAATGAGAAAATAGAAATGAGACACCGTTAGTTCAGATGAAGTTCAGTTTAGACACTAGTAGATGAGGTCGGCAACGATGCGTGTGCGGGAAGAGAACAGCGTAATTCCCAACTCACCGATTTCCGGTGATAGTGATGTTTTTGATAAGATGATTTGGATCAGAAGGGGCGATCCTCAGAGACCGTACGTACGGGGAATGTTTCGTGTCACTGCGAATACAACCAAAGGTGAAAACTTAAATATCCACTGAATGCCCCCTCCAAAATGAACATTTCTCATAGATTAGATATTAGGAATGTGATCAAAATAAAGGTTTGACCATAAAGAGTTAAGGGTCTCCATACTGCTCACGAGTAGCATTTCGGATCCGGGAGAGAAAACACGCAATTTGGAACAACCATTACCATTCGGTAATAACTGTCCAAAGCCTCAGCGATAGTTCTCAGATCACTGTAGAGACCTAAAACAAACGAAAATGCTAAAATCTCAGCAACTAGCTATGGAGTCAGCATTTTCTTCGTAACGGATAACGGATCAGCTTGATTCACGTTGGAATTGCTCAAAAAGTAACCAGCCGGTTGAACTGAAAATGCACGGAGAACAATTCTTTTCCGGCCGTTTTGCATCTATGCGTTTCGTTTAAATTACATTGGAACACATGTCACCAGAGTGACGAGGGGTAATCGCTCGAACTCAGTTAGTTACAGAATCACCTATAGTACGGAACAGTTGATGCGACAGTAAAACTATCGATTTTGTGTATTAGCAAACCTTAGCCACAAGGTGGAAATAGAAACATCGAAACTGGAACAAACGGTCAGTTTTGCTCACAACTTCTCCCGGTGACCGGGAATCGGAGGAAATGAAATTGGAAAAAATCTATGAAAATACCGCTTGAAACATGGCTGATCAGTTTCATGCTGCTCCAAAACCGGGGATCCTTCACTGTGGGATTCATGTCCCCATCCTGTGTGCGTGTGTCTGTTTGATTTTGTGCATGAAAAGTGCTAAAATCATTTCGGCACAGCAGAAGCGAACGCAGAATGAGTTGTTGTTCCCTGGAGCTGCACACATTTGTCGACAAAAATAACCAGTATCACACTACATAAACTGGAAATTTCTTTCAATTGACCTGAAACAAGGAACTACAAAAACCGGGATGATTGCACTTTGTCACGTTGTTTGATCTGTCTCAGTCATCCCAGACGGAAGCGATTTACGATTCCATCATCATCCGTTCATCCCTACACTTTGTGCGGGTCGAAAAACAATATATGGATGTTCGTAAATTAAATACTGTGCCGTATGAAACTGCATTAAACTCCGTAACTAGAATCTTCCAAACCACGCAGCAGTACTATTTGTTCCATACCTTTTATTTTACTTCCTATCATTGAATATACAATGATAAAATTTTCAGAAAGGAGGAAGTAACCAATCAGTAATGGGCTATCAACACACAGAAAATAGGGAAACTCCGGCGGTTGTGTAGGGATTTGAACACGGGTCCTCCGGGGTGATAAGTTGGTGACCGCAGGACAAATATTTCTTGTTCATCTGGTTCCATCTGTCAGTTACGAACGGTTCTGTAAATACTGATTCGAAAGGATTGTGACGTTGGAATGCATTCGTTTTGGTAACGTTTGACATCTGTAACGACAGACTGGGACAAGTAGGACACTAAATTTATCAGACCACTGATAAATAGAAATAAGCTTGGATAATTGTATTGTAAGAGTCTGGTGGGGTAACCAGACGAGCAATGCTGAGGTTAAACGTGGAGTTTTAGATAATCGTGGTCGTCCACTAGAGCAGGTAGATTAAGCTGGTTGGGGCGTGAGCCACGCATTTCACCAGATAGGTTACCACGGCGAAAGATGTTTGCCGAGGAAGGTAGCGATTGGCAAAAGGTCATGGGCGGTCAAACAAAGATCTGACATGAGGGTATGAAACCCCTAACCAGGAAAGATTGGATCACATAGGTCCCGATGGTCAACGATGGTTAGAGACACAGAGCGATGTGACTGGGCGTTGCAAACTGTGACGCTCATACATCTGCTCAATATTCTTGCAACCACAGTCTATATTAATTCTATATCTTCACTTTGACTCAACTCTCAGCATTCCAATCTTCATTCTGCTCTTTTTTCCAAATAGGTAACCAAAAGAAGGCAACCAAAACCGGTGCGCGAAAGTGCACCGTTAATATTTGTGAAAAACTGATACTTAAACGGAGACCTTTTGTCTACACCAGGTCATAATGGCTCATAATACATTATCTTGCATTATGATAGTCCGATAGACAACTTCACACTCCGTTTTTTATGCATAATCGATAAAATACGATAAAATACATCTGTTTTATTTTGGTTGTACTCTTTCATTTTCAGGTATGAAAGCGATCGCATACAATTTCCTTCACATTGGGATCGGTGTGTTGTTAACTTTCGCTCTGCTGCTCGGATTGGTGGGTTTCATTTACTATCGGGAACGTAAGCGTCGGTTGAAGATGCCCAACGATCCACTCGCAGAGTTGACCGGATCCAAACACTCGTTGGCTTCCACGCATCCCGTTAATCAGAAACCACATCGACACCAATGCCCGAATGCCCACAAACCACCTCACCCGCATCCCCACTCGCATCATCATCACCACCATCATCACCACCCGTCCTCGTTGCATCAGCACTCCCGATCACATCATAATTCACGGACGCATCTTCCAACTGACGTGGACTCTTTGGGTAAAGGGACACTCACACGAACCGGTTCCCTCAGTTTGGGAGGTGGCAGTACACTCGGCAAACGACAGCCCATTTCAGCGGGAACCGGTACAATCCCGTTACCGCCGCCGCCACCACCACCACCACCACCTCCAACACAACCACAGCCTCCGATACATCATCACCATCATCACCATGCATTACATGAGACCCGCCTGACACAGACCGCACCGCATGATTGTGCTTCCCGACATCAATTGATCCCAGTGCACGAGTTTCATCGAACACAGCCACCCACATCATCCCGATTACAGCGAAAGTCACCGCACCCGTTACCAATGCACGGGGTATCTCTGTCACGTAACGGCGGTACCCTAACTGGTTCCATTCACAGTGGTGTAGTGGGGACAGGAAGCAGTGGCCTGTCAGTTGATGTGGACGGTGGTCTACTAATACGAGAAAAAATGCAGAAAATTTCCATCGTCTAATTCTACATCTTGTGGAACTCTCTGTATCAAATTACAGTCCCCCCGTGAATGTGTACGGGGACAAAATTAGTCGGATCTGTGGAACCACACTTTCATTCCTTAATTCCTACCTATCAGTTGTGACTTATCAGAAGAAAACGATCAAATTGAATCCGTAGGTAAAAATGTGCTCTCGTCAGTTTATGTTGTATTCGTCCCCTCAATCTCATCCAATCAGCCCGTTCCGCCTCATCTCTCCAACCAACTCCCATTCACTCCGGCTCGCATCGTTTAACTCCAAACTTTTCTCTCTCTCTCTCTGATCTGTTCGTTGCTCCAACAATTACGACCGTTTGCGATCGACAATTCCGTACTGTACATAGGATCCTAACCCCTTGAAACAAATGACCGAAAAAATCAGGGCATAGTTAGACATTTATATATATATATACATATATTCCGATTGTGTACAAAATTACAGATGAAAACAAGTACTACCACTACTTCTTCGTCTTCGGTTATTTTATGTTTTATTTCATCTTCGATACTACCCGCCTCCTCGCGCGACACGCACAGGATGCTGTGTTCGCTCTTTCCTGTCGAGAACCAGATCAACTGTGAAATGTCAAACACACACACACACACACACACACAAAGACCGACTTTAAAATGTGACTTAGCGCTTACCACCACTACTACTACTACTACTACTACTACTATCCACCATTGTATCTCGCAGATTTGCATAGCAATATGATGTATATGCGTGCAACGAATAATTTAGATTGCGTGTGTCTACACGAAGAAAAAATCGATTAGAATCACGCTCGCGGATGGCCACACACACACACAGACGCATTTACCATGATCTATCCACCCGAGCCCCAAACCCACCTCCCCTGTCCCGCACTGCCGTACCCCTTCCCTCAAAAAAGCCTAGTTCTATTTTATTTCTTTCCGTTTGTTTGTCTGACTGATTGTTCACTTGTTTGATTGTTTTGTAAATATCAGAGTTTTCTTTACCAGACAGAATGAGCCTCTGTTCGCTTCTGTTCGAATTGGGCCAGCCTACGCGTTTGTCAGTTGACCGGAAACGTACAGACAGACAGACAGATATACAGATAGAGACTAACACGTAAAGCAATAATTTAGGTAGGAAAAGTATATCGGTAGGTATCAGAGTACCATAAACCATCAGCAGATTGTATACTGTTAGTACTGGATGGACTATATATCGATAAAACGATTCAATTTAGAATGTAACGGCGAATAACATTCGGTTAAAATTCTTTATCTGAAGCGGTAATATCTATTGTCGATATCTTTCATGTTCTTACATATTCTCTGGCCAATTATAATCATGAATCTTATGTGTTATAAGAGCAAAAGTAGCAGTCTTTAAAAAATTCGCAACGTTCAGTCCTCGTTTTTTTCTCTTTGAGAAAAGTACATTTAAATGCAACAACTACGGGATGTAGCACTCTCTAAAATGTAATATTTTGTGGTTCATGCTGAACAGAATGCTATCTACCACGCTCAAGGTTTGAGAGATGTTACAAAACCGAAATTCGCACATCTCTGCGGCAAACTAATTTGTCATTTCCCGGAAAACAGTGCAATCTTTCCCGTCGAATGGGGCTTGCCAGATGCGAATCAAACGGGAAAAGATGTCATCGCATAATTCTACAAAACATTGATGACGTAACGCATGCTGTTTACCAATGTTATGTGCTAATGCGTGATCGATTCGAGGAAGTTCTCACATCATAGTGTGAGTTGCGGGAAAGATTTAAGCTGCAGTGATAATGTAGACCAGATAGACTTTGAAAGATTCATTGGAGATATTTCCAATAAACATTGAGAACAACAAATACTCGAAAAAAAGGGTTGGGTCGAATATATACATTATAAGCAGTTATTACTGATCCATTAAACTTTCCTCACGTTTATGGTAGAAGACGAGACATACCCCTAAGATGAAGATTACTTTAGGGTTAGACCTTAGGCTTGAATAGAGCTGCATAGATAAAGTCACCACTGATATCGCAGAATAATAAAATTCAATTTTGCTCTCATTTCATAAGATCAGAATAGTATATCTTTTATGTAACAATGCAGGGAGGGTTTAGGACATCTTGTATCCGGGACATAACAACTGATAGCCAACACTGTCTAAATAGATCTAATTGAGGAAACTTTTCGTGCATTTATGATATGAATACATCTATTTGGTCCGAATTATGGCCGGACTCATACACAGGGGAAAGCTGAACAGAAAAGAAAGGGATAATGTGTGCTGTAGATGCGGCACACAATATCGTGTAGTGGCTTGAGACCAACAGTGTAACATGCTCGAGAGTGTCACCATCTTTGGTCTGCCTGTTCCGCATGTATGCTTTCACATGACTGCAGGCATTGGTTGCTTGGAGCATTCGCTCGTGCATCCTTCTCCTTTGTAGCATAGAATCCGCCAGGATCTTTGATATCCTGAGACCACTCCTTCAGCTAAGTCTTTTATCTTTGTTTAAGTCTCTACCACCTCCGGTGAAGTACTCCTCACTTTAAACGGTGCGTGAGTTCAGAGCTACACCTTTCGCTTGCTAAGCATTTCCGCTTTCAGATACTCTCGAGCGTAATCAGGCTAAACTCCGGTGCTTCCAGGGAACAATATGTTTTCCCTCGACTAACCAGTGGTTCTTCCTGATTCATACTGGGTGATCGAGAAACACGGGATATTTAGAGATCGGATCGTCATTGCGCATCTTGATATCACTCGTCCCCCTTCTCTAAAATCGAGCTGTCGAACGAACAACAAGATATAGTTCACATTTCTTCCAATCGTAAGTCAGTGTTAGAGTACGCTGGTCAGCGCATCATTTGATCTTTTCAATACGCCCACCAAAGAATTATCTTCATTTCCATTGTGGATGAAATTTCTCATTTCCTCAAGTTGGTTTAGTGAAAAACGTCAACGTTCTCACAACGTTGAGCTTCTTTTAGTATAAGTGCACAGAAGACATTTTGATACAATCATCATTGTATTCAATAAATTGGGATTCACTCAGTCGCTCAAATACAGTGTTGTTTTGTTGTTGTTTTGTCTCTTTCAAATACTTCTATGGACAACACCGATTTTCCAAATGATAAACGGGAAATCGAAATTGATCTTGAGATAGGCAGACAGACAGCAAGGACAGACACACAGGCAGACATAAACAGACGGACACATCGACAGAGTTAGACAGACAGACAGACAGACAGACAGACAGACAGACAGACAGACAGACAGATTAACTGACTGACTGACTGATTGACTGACTGACAGGCAGGCAGGCAGGCACAGCCTAAGCAACAATGCTTAAGAGAGAAAATGCGAAAGGAAAAGTAAACTGAACTGTGCAAACTGGATGAAATTTTATTTCTCAATCCACTCCTTACACGCAGTTACTTGTGAGATAGATGGTATTGGTTTGGTTTTAAATTAACACACCACAATCAGTACTCACAATCAACTATACGCGCAGAACGCATTATACACTCCAGTTTCGCTCTTAGTAGAGATCGTTAGTGGTACATAACTACCATCCCGTCCGAGCTTTGAATTCCGAATCTATTGCATGGGAGGTCAAAGCGTTACCCTATGCCAACCGCCCCATACCGGACAGTGGGAACAGAATAATATCATCCACGTCACTCTACTAATCACTAGTAACTGCGAGTTGAAAGTAAGTTCGAGTGTAGCCTACCCCGCGGGATAGCGTACCCGGCTTGAGCCAGAGTACGTGCTCACTGTCCACCATCCAACTCTTGTGGACAATGGTTATTGTTTCGTTTTCGAACTCAACTGTGGCGTACATCTAAAAACAAATATTGTTTTAAAAGTTATTCGTCATTATGATAAAGAACCGGAGAAAATATGCGGCATGCAAACGTGTAGTATTGTGTACAGAAAGGATACCGGAATATTTAAAAATGATCACTTAACACAGGGTTGATGTCCTGATCCCTCATGCTCATTTGATTGATTCTATTCCAAGTCTTCAGGATTCTTCAGCTTCAGACTCAGGCATCGCGTTGTAATTTTGGAGATCAACTACAAATTCAGTTACGTGATCTATTAATTGCTTGTATTAATTGTCCAGAACCGTAGCAAAAGCTCTTGCTCATGCACGATTGCACATTTCCGTCGGCAAAAGTGGTCTGTGAACAGTAAGAAAGTCAAAGTTTTATTAGGAGCATTACTTACAAGCAGATGCTTTTCTTGTCCCATAGGGTGGTAACACGAATTGAACTGTAACAGTGATGAACAATTTCCATATGCTGCGTTTGGTTGTGTTTTGTGTTCTCGTGGATGTTGGAATCAACTATGTTAATGATTCGTCAACTTTTACCTTAAAGGAATGAATCGTCTCGGTACATACAACGTGAGATGTTAGGGAATTCCAGGCTGTGCACACTCTAACGGCGAACGCATGACGTCGGCAGTCCAGTCGAGATTTTCGAGTCCCCGTAGAACAACGTTTGATGACCACGTCAGAAGTCGGTGACAAGGGTGGTTTGGGTTGTGTAATATTGGGCACACTAAAATCAAGTCTCCTCAAATCTGACGATACGGAGAAGAGTATAGACCCAACAACTGCATTTTCTCCATGTATGAATCATGATAGAGTCCATTGACCATCTTCGTGGCAAGCCTTTGTGAACTCTCCAGAATCCTATGATCACGTTGTAACCATTGGTTCCGCGTTTGGATGGCATACTCAATATGTGGCCGGATGTTTGCTGACAACAGACGCGAGAATAACGATGGTTCAAAACGACCGAAAACACGTTTAAGTAGACTGACATGTTTGAGTGCTATTGATGACACCCTGGAGCAGTTAACAGAAAAGCTCAGGTCTTCGTGGACTATAACACCCAAGTCCTTCTCTATTGATGCATGCAGTAGTAGTTTGTTTCCGAGGAAATAAGGAAACCGCCCATGGTGGCGTAGCGAAATCACCTTGCATTTGGAGACGTTA